GCCAGCACACCCAGTGAACAGCTACAGACCACACAGAAGCACCTCCACCCTGCCCGTGCACAGCTGATCTTCCGCAGTGGGGTGGAGGTTGGTGGTAAGTGGTCAAAGACAATCCTTGCAGCTGACTGACCTGGATGAATGCCTCCCATTGATCTGCCAGCAAAGGCTCAACTACAAGAGAAGGGTATACTCAGCCCACACAAAGGGCACACCAAGAGTACCCAGCTTAGGTGATGGGGGAGGCTGTGCCTCTGGGCCCTGCAGGACACCTACTACATGAGGCCACACTACTAAGACAGGAATCAAAGCAGCTCTACCTAATACATAGAAACAAACAAAGGACGACTGCCGAAATGAGGAGGAAAAGAAACATGGCCCAAATGCAAGAATGGATCAAAACTCCAGAAAAAGAACTAAACGAAATGGACATAAGCAATCTATCAGATGCAGAGTTCAAAACACTGTTTATAAGGATGCTCAAGGAACTTAGTGAGGACCTTAAGAGCATAAAAAAGGCCCAATCAGATATGAAGGATACAATCATTGAAATCAAGAACAATTTACAGGGAGACAACAGTAGAGTGGATGAAGCCAAGAATTAAATCAATGATTTGGAACATAAGGAAGAACAACCAATCAGAACAAGAAGAAAAAAAGAGAATTAAAAAAAAATGAAGAGAGTGTGAGCAGCCTGTGAGACAACTTTAAGCAATCCAACATTTGCTTCATAGGGTTTCCAGAAGCAGAAGAGAACAAGAAAGAATTTGGAAATCTGTTTGGAGGAATAATAAAGAAATCTTTCCTAATTTGTTAAAGGAAATAGACATGCAAGTCCAGAAAGCAGAGTCCCAAACAAGGTGGATGCAAAGAGGCCCATGCCAGGACATATCATAATTAAAATGCCAAAGGTTAAAGACAAAGAGATGGGAGGGTGGGTGGGGGAGGATGGGTGAAGAGGTGAGGGGATTAAGAAGTACAAATAGGTAGTTACAGAATAGCCATGGGGATGTAAAGTACAGTATAGGGAATGGAGTAGCCAAAGAACTTACATGCATGACCAGCAGACATAAACTAGGGTGGGGGACTGCCAGAGGGGAGGGGGGTTCCTGGGTGGAGGGGGCTAAGGGAGAAAAATCAGGACAACTGTAATAGCATAATCAATAAAATATAATTTAAAAAATAAGATAGCATCATGGAAGGAACTGGAAGTCTTATGTCACAGAGCTCCAGCTACACTTTAGGCCTCATTTCCAGCAGTGTGTCTCCCCTGTCCCTGTGTGTTCCTGAACACAGAGGGTGGCATGTAACCTGAGTGCATTTCCCTGCACCTCTATTGCACCTGCTTGGAGTTCTGAACTGTGGTGGAGAAACTGTAAGTCATTCTACTTTTTTAGTTTCAGATCAAAGCCCTTCATTTCAAGTTAGCAAAATGAAAAGAGAAGAAGCCACACTAAAAAACTTGAAAAAAGAGAAAATAAACACAGCTCAATACCTTATAAATAATCTTCATGAGTCCAGGAGTATTTTATTTATTTTTTTAATTTATTTTTATTGATTATGCCATTACAGTTGTTCTATTCCCCCCTTCATTCCCCTCCACCCTACCTCCCCGTCCCCATTACCCCCCTTTAGTTTATGACCATGTGTCTCAAGTTCTTTAGATTCTATATTTCCCATACTATTCTTGCCACCCATCTATTTTCTATCGACTGTCTATGCTACTTATTTTCTGTACCTTCTCCCCCCTTCTCCTCCTCCCACTCCCCTCTTGCTAACCTAACCCTCCTTGAGATCTTCATTTCTATGTTTCTGCTCCTGATCTAGCTGACCTTTTAGTTTGCTTTTGTTTTAGGTGTGGTTCTTAATAACTGTGAGTTTGTTGTCCTTTCACTGTTCATGTTTTTTTAACTTCTTTTTCTTAGATAAGTCCCTTTAACATTTCATATAATAAGGGCTTGGTGATGATGAATTTCTTGAATTTGATCTTATCTGAGAAGCACTTTATCTGTCCTTCCATTCTAAATGAAAGTTTTGCTGGATAGAGCAATCTTGGTTGTAGGTCTTTAGATTTCATGACTTGGAATACCTCTTTCCAGCCCCTTCTTGCCTGCAAGGTCTCTTTTGAGAAATCAGCTGACAGTCTGATGGGAACTCCTTTGTAGGTGACTGTCCCCTTATCTCTTACTGCTTCTAGGATTCTCTGCTTCATTTTAATCTTGGCTAATGTAATGATGATGTGCTTTGGTGTGTTCCTTCTTGGATCCAACTTCTTTGGGACTCTCTGAGCTTCCTGGATTTCCTGGAAGTCTATTTCCTTTGCCAGATTGGGGAAATTCTCTTTTATTATTTGTTCAAATAAGTTTTCCACTGGTAGCTGTTCCTTTCGCCCTTCTGGTACCCCTATAATTCGGATGTTGGAGCGTTTAAAGATGTCCTGGAGGTTCCTAAGACTCTCCTCATTTCTTTGAATTCTTGCTTCTTCACTCTTTTCTGTTTGGCCATTATTTGCTTTCTTCTGGTCCACTGCATTGATTTGAGTCCCAGTTTCCTTTTCATCGCTATTGGTTTCCTGTGCAATTCCATTCATTTCAATTAGTTTTGCCTTCATATATTTGTCTAATTTGTGGCTATAATCAACCAGTTCTGTGAGGATCCTGATCACCAGTGTTTTAAACTGTGCATCTGAGAGTTTTGCTATTTCTTCATCGTTTAGATTTATAGGCTCTGGGGCTTTGAGATCTTCTTGAGCCATTTTTGGTCTGTTTGCGCCGTTAAGTACGAGGAGGAGCGGAGCCTTGGACTCCCAAGTTGCTGGGTTGTGACGCTGTATGTGGGAGCGTGGTCAGAGCGGGGAAATGGTGACCCCCTCTGCTGTTTCTTGCAGCTGGGTGAGGAGCAGAGGCTTAGGTGGTTCACCTGGGCCGGGCCACTCAGAGTCGCTGGGTTATGACGCTGTATGTGAAGGTGGGGTCAGAGCAGGGAAATGGCAGCGCCCTCCCTGCCGCTTGCCACAGGGACCCGCTGGGTCCGGGTCCAATCGCCCACTCCCTCACTTGTCTATCCACGCACAAATGCACGACCACAGTCAACCCGCAGCCCTGCTCCCTCGCTGTTTCCCCAAGGTCGCTCGCTTGGTCGCTCACTCAGTCGCTCACTAGGTCCAACCCTGCGCCTGAATTCCGCGCGCCTGAGTCCATCTGACTGAGTTTTCCTGTGCAACCCCGCTCTGCCAGCTGCTGCTTTCGCCCCTTACCAGTCAGGCTGAAGAATTTGTTGTTAACAGACTTCCGAAAAGTTCAATTTTCTGTGTTCTGACTGTGTTTTCTGTTGCTAATATTTAGTTGTCTCTAAACTTGGTTGTGTGAGAAGGCACAGCATATCCACCTATGCCTCCATCTTGGCGGAAGTTCAAGTCCAGGAGTATTTTAATTCAAACGAAGTTACTTAACGTCCATGATTCAGGAGGCATTTAATGAGTAGCAAAAACACTATTTACATGGTGATGATTTGTATTTTTTAGAAATCTAACATCATCCTCAGTTCCTTCAAGAGTCCTATGTGTCTTACATAGGCGATTTCTGTATTTAGCACTGTGTCTGGCAACACTGGTGCTCATTTCTCAAAAAAGCTTGCTCAGTATTACCAATGCTCACTATAGACCTGTCAGAGGAGAAATGTACCTTCATACATTCTGATTACAAGTTTCCAGCCCCTTCCTCCCAGAGCCCAATGTCTCAGCATTCACGCTGGGGTGACCCCCTCCACAGAGGTTGCAAATTCCAGTGCGAAGTAGCTGATCAGTCCCAGTTCTTAGCAGGTTCTGTGGGCAGATCCTCCAGAAATTTTTAAGGAAAGTAAAATATAGAAACTACCACATTTTTAAGTTTTGGAAACACTGAATGTAATGAAATAATAAAGAAAATCAAACTATGTGCAAATCGCTTGTCTGAGCCCCCAGAAGCCAGTTTTCTGTCAGATTCCTCCTTTGAGTTGCAGCTCCAGCTTCTGTTCCTGGGTCCTTAGAGGCCTGGTGTTCAAGATGCACCTTCCTGATGAGGTCCTGGGGACTGTGGTGAAGAAATCCAGGAGGAAAGTCACTGGGTCCTTCCGCCTCACTGTCACTGTAGGTGTCACAGAGGTGAGCAACATCGGATCTTATTCAGTCAGCTCCTTATCTGATACTCACTCATTATGCGGCTATTTCCACTGGTTTCCAGGGATAGGGGAGTTTGCAGTATCTCCTCTAAGACACTTCTTTACTCCCTCAGTAGCCATCCACTGTCACATCTTCTTTGCGATCATTAAAACCTTCAGTAAAGCCCACACCGGTTCTCAGGTTTGGCTCTGGTATCTATAACAGGGGTTCTGAAATCGCCAGGAAGGCAGAGGCACTAGGCCAAGGCATGCATTTGAAATGGGGTCAATGGGTGGTTGCATCTTCAGCAATATGAAGAGAGGGCTCCTCTGTCAAAAGTCTGCTAGTCAGTTCACCTCTTTCATGATGAACTAAGGAAAAGAAAGAGGAGACTGAATTTTCATTGGGCAGAACATTTGCTTTGGGGCCATGCAGAGTTTAAATCTGCGCTAATTTGTATGGGTGTAGAATATGTGTCTTTAATGAACTCTATAAACATGTCCCTCAACCCAAAACTTTCTTTACTACAGAGCCCCAGCGCATTGAGACAGAGCAGGTAGAAAGCCTCATGCACTTGGATCACACAAAGATAGTAGGTAGGGAAGCCGCACGCTTTCTAACAGGAATAGCTAAGGGCCTTGTTGGAGCTTCCACAGGAGAACAGGATGGAGACCTCTGAGTGGGGGAGAGTACACAGGAAGTGGGCACCACATGGGTGACTCTCCAGGCCAGCTGGAGGGCCATGGGAGGCCTACTCCTACACATACCATATATATATGAACGAGTATATCATATATGTGTGGACTTTAAAGGTTACAGGTTAAGCAGCTTGGTGATTTTCAATAGCATGGTGGGAGCCTTGTTTCTTTTTTTTATTTGGTTCCTTCAAAAGATAAATGGAATGAGGGCTTTCCGAAATTTGGGGTAGTCCTTAAAGATCTTGTGGTAGAACCTAAAAGATAAGAAACAAATAATTATAAATATAAACAATGTGTGAGGTTTGCTAGGTCTGAAATCCTTCTTGTAAGTCAACCTACACTTATTCAGGGTCTGACTCTTCCTGATGGCCATTTGTCCATCTTCTTTCTCTCCTGCATCTTACTCTTATAAATGTTTAGAGCTTTGTGCAATGGGAAATATACATGAAAGGACAGCAGGATGGCTGTGCAAAATTATGAATGTGCAACCACTGAATTGTATATTGAAAATGGTCAATTTTTGTCAAGTATGTTTTACCACAATAAAAGAGAGTGTAATAGCCAGAAAGAAGTACTCCTCAAATTCAGCTGAGAAATGTAGGAAAACAGAGACGCTGAAGGCTATGGACAAGGTTAACCCTAGAAAAACATTCCCAGGGAAATATCCCTTCATCAGGCCTGGGATGCCAAGAAAACATTACCCTGGGTTATGGGTTGAATCATCTCCCACAAAATATATGCTGAAGTCCTAACCCCCAGTACGTGAGACTGTGACCTTATTTTGGAAATAGGGCCACTGCGGGCATAACTTATTAAGTTAAAATGCAGTCATCATGGAGCAGGGTGTGTCCTTAATCCAAATGACTAGTGTCTCCAGGAGAAGGGGAGAAGAGACAGGGAGACAGAGGAGAACAGGCCATGTGAACACAGAGGTGAAGAGTAGAGTGACGCAGCTATGAGCCATGGGAGACCAAGACTGAAAGCTAGGGAGAGGCAAGGGAAGATTCTTCCCCAAACCTTCAGAGGGGACATGCATGGAGATCGGATAGCACGATTCCTCTTGAACTTTGTTCTTCTTTCTTGCGATTGCTGTGGATATTCAGGGTGTTTTGTGGTTCTGTATAAATTTTTGGATTATTTGTTCTAGTGCTGTGAAAAATGTCATTGGTATTTTGATAGGAATTGTGTTGAATCTATAAATTGCTTTGGGTAGTATGGATATTTTAACAATGTTAATTCCTTCTATCCACAAGAATAGTATATGCTTTCATTTATTTGCATCTTCAATTTCTTTCCTCAGTGTCTCATAATTTTCTGAGTATAGGTCTTCAACCACCAAGGTTGGAGGAATCATGTTACCTGATATCAAACTATACTACAGGGCCATAGTAATCAAAACAGCATGGTACTGGCATAAAAACAGACATATAGGTCAATGGGTCAGAATAGAGAACCCAGAAATAAACCCATGTCTATATGGTCAATGAATGTTTGACCAAGGAAGCAAGAACATACAGTAGGGTAAAGACAGCGTGTTCAATAAATAGTGTTGGCAAAATTGGACAGATACATGCAAAAAATGAAACTAGACCACCTTCTCACACCACATACAAGAATAAACTCAAAATGGACTAAAGACTTAAACATAAGACTCAAAATCATAAAAATCCTAGAAGAAAACATAGGCAATAAAATCTCAGGCATTTCTCTTAGTAACATTTTTTTTCTTGATATATCTCCTTAGGCAAGAGAAACAGAAGAAAAAATAAGCCCTGGCTGGTGTAGTTCAGTGGATTGAGCACGGGCCTGCGAACCACATGATCGCGGTTCGATTCCCAGTCAGGGCACATGCCTGGGTTGCAGGCCAGTTCTCAGCAGGGGACACATGAGAAGCAACCATACGTTGATATTTCTCTCTCCTTCCCTTTCTCTCTAAAGATAAATAAATAAAATTTTTTTTTAAAAAGAAGAAAAAATAAGCAAATGGGACTACATCAAACTGAAAAGGTTTTGCACAGCAGAGGAAGCCCTCAACAATGTGAAAAAACAACCCACTGAACAGAACACATTCATCGGTGGTAACTAAGAGAGAATAAAACAACTCAGTCTGGGGCATCTGTTTCAGCTACCCTGGGAGACTAACACATCTCGTAAAGAGGCCTTCTGCTCAGGTGGCCTGGCTCTCCTCTAGAAACTGGTAGCTCTCAAGTTATAATCGAAGCGGTCTGTTTGTTAGAGCTCCTTAGTCTGAAGTGGGGGACTGCTAGTAATCCCGCGTTACAAGGCATGGCTGGACTCGGGTGCTGCAGTAAGAGAGATGTGGTGGGCTGCCTCCCGCAGAGCCCAGTTAGGCCCATAAAAAAGACACCCTCTTGCTCTCCCTCTGGAGTTGCTGACATAAAAGGATAGGGACTCAGTCTGGATTCCGTTGTTGCACAAGCTGGAACCCTCGGGTGCAACTGCTGTCTCTCCTGTGACCAAGTCCGACTAAGTCCGTGTTTCCCAGGGCCCCTCAAACAGTTTGTCAATGCCCTTCCTCCCACTCCCTCTCAACCTCAGATCTCAGACGGCGGGGGGGGGGGGGGGCACAGGGGGACAACAGACACAGTCTGAGGTAGGGGAACTGCTACCCTGACTCTCTTACGGGCTGGGGACCCTCTGCTGCCTTCCACTCACCCCCCACCACAAGTCCAGGAGGTGGCAAGAATAGGTCATGAGGAGAGCTGCTGTTCCACTCATTTATGGCAGGGCTCTGCATAAATTCCATGCTGGGGAAAAGAACCCATTCTCAGCGTAACCTTCAAGACTATGCAATTAAGCAGTAGCTGGACTCAAACGCCTGTGCAGGAGCTTAAGGGGTTCCCCTGGGTCCTGGTTTCAAGCCTGTTTCCCTTCCCCCCGAATTCTCTCTCTCCCTCCTTCCCACTCTCCCTCTTCCTCCCTTCCCCTTCCCCAATAATCACAGGTAGTCTCTTTCCTCCAACTACAAAAGCCATTTTAGAGAAAGGACCTGAAATTCGCACTTAAAACCTGATAACAACTTAGTATCTTACTGTTTCCCTGCCAGTGATACTTTTCATAACCCTCTGGTCCCCCTCGTCCCAGGTGCAGGGGCTGGGAAGCAGGTGGGAGCTAGGTAAGCCTCAGCCTAGACCTACAGAGGAAGGTTCTAAACCCCAGCAAATCTCCCGGCATCTCCCAGGTGATCAGACAGTCCTGAAATTGTGTCACACAAGTAATTGCTTACTGTACCTTCCAGGAAGGCAGCAATGACCTTGGCTATGATTTACGGAGGGTGGGGATAGGGGCAGGAGAAGAGTACCAAAATAAGCCCTGGTAGTACATGGATCCCAAGGAAATGATCCTGCAATTTCCAGGAATCTGTGATGACCTGAACTGTTAGCACCAAACCTAGAATTAAAAATAGCAGCCACACTGGGCCCAGGGCTAGTGCTTTTCTGTGGGGGCTGTCTATCCTGGCTATAGCTCAGAATTATCTGTGAGGCTTTAGAAAGAGCTGAGCATGGTCCCATCCATAGAATACATGTTAAGAAATGCAACAGAAGTGAACTGAATTAAAGCACAGAAATAGAAGCTGCTTCTTATTCCTGCTGACTCTTACCAACCTCTAGCCATCACCAGCTAAGCCTGCTGGAAGGGTAGGCAGAGAGGCAACTGACTTACGTGGACACAAGGCACTTTTCTCTGGGAAGTCTTCTTCAACAAGGTGGCCCAGTGGCTTCCCGAGTCACCTGGAGGGCCTTTGTCTACCTGGCTTCAGTGTTGCTCTTAGAAAAACACTTGTTATTGCCATCCCACCTGAATTCCAACTTCAGGGTAAGCCCAAGAAGTCAGACTTCACCAGTACAGATTACAGTAGAACGTCTGACTCGGTGGGCTGAAAGCCTGTTTGGAGAGGAAAGCTATGTGGACACCGCCACCTGGATTGAAAGTTTACCTGTGGTGGTGAAAAGCTCGCAGCCCAAGGAAGCAAAGTGAGAAAAATGCAAACGCAAGTGCTGGGAGGGACCAGGTGGCCAGGGCAAAGCCGATCCATTCGATGATCTCACCGAGGAAATTGGCTCCCGAAACGTATGTGAACAGGCCACCTGTGCGCACAAGAATCCAAAGTCAACCATCAGAACTGGATCATCAGGACATTAAAACCCCTCACCTTTGTTCCAAAATACACAAGGGTAAATATATATACATATGTACAGGGTAAATATGGGGCCGGACACTCTCTTCCCAGTCATCACAGTTTGGTGGAATCCACTTGGGGACAAAGGACAACAAAGCAACTGCAGCCTGTTGTCCACAGAATATCCCGGAACCACGAGGAACGGCCCCAACTACCTGATGGGCTCCATCGGATCTCTGACGACTGCGGGAGCCCCGGCTCCCAACAGGACAAGGGTGAGGGGCAGGAGGCCTAGGTTTTGTCTCATTCTATTAAGTAACGTTTCCAGCCCACCTCTCACCGTTTCACTGTTTCCTGGACACCCACACCGGTGGTCAGCATAGTTCACGTTCACAGTCACAGGGGGGGTCAAACAACAAACAAGGTGAAAACAGTACTATTGATGTGAGAAGTAACTTATTTCTCCTTTGGCATTTGCCCCCCCAAAGCAGCACACTCTGCTCAAGTTTAAACGAGGGTGGGAGCAGCAGGGTTTGGGCCTCATGGAGCCCCTCAAGGTCTGCCGCAACCGGTTTTTTTTAAGGTTTCTTCCTATCTAGCCATGTATTCTGATAACAGACCTCCCTTAGAAATCACCGTGTTTCTAATCAAAGTAAATGTATCCGCACTCGGAATTTCCCACACCAAACTGGCAAAGTGTCACCTAAAACAAATATTTTTCTTTCCGTGGTTGTATAAAGAATGTTTTGTTTTTTAAATCATTCTCTAATATAAGTCAATAGCTGAAAACTAACTCTGGCAACCTAACCTTTAAAAGCTTTCTCTGCCCTTCTTGGTCTAGTGACCGAGTGAAGATTTAAACGTGAAACCCCTGAAAGTTCCCTCCCTTACGGAAGACACCACAGCAGCAGTTTCCGGGCTGTGCTTCCCCAGGCCCTGAGGGGAACCGCCGACCCACTGAAAGGAGTCTGTAAACTGTCCATGAATAGAGCAAACGATACATCTCAACCTATGCTATTATTTTTGTTTGATGCAGGTGCTGGTGGGATGGTAGCAATACTTACATTTATTTAAATGTGCTATTGAACTCATAGTAGCTTTCTCGTTATTTTCTAATCCATGAATACTAATCTGTATGAACAGCATTTCATAATTTATTTAAAAAATTTTTAGAGAAAGAGAAGGGGAGGGCAGGGGAAAGACAGGAAGACAGACACTGATGTGATGGAGAAACATTGATGATTTGCCTCTCATATGTGCCCCAAAAGGGAACCAAACCCACAACCCAAGCATGCACCTGCCAGAGAACTGAACTGGCAACTTTTTGCTTTGCAGAATGATGCCCAACCAACTGGGCCACGCCAGCCAGGGCCAGGAAAATGTCTAATGTAATGGGTTCTGTTTATATAAAAAATAATGGGACCCACAATCTACACAAATATGTACCCAATGATATTGGATTGCTTGGACTGATTGGCTCCCGCTTGCTTATATTTGTTAGCTCACACCCCGATTTCTTGGGAGCAGTTAGGATTTATTTCTGAAAATGCACTTGTGAGACGGCCCATCCCAATTTTTGATTAAGTAAATATGGCTCTTTGTACCTTTGAGAACATAATACAAGTGGTAGGAAATAAGCGAGTACTACCCCTGACTACTGATTAGATAAATCTAGTGAGACTTGTTGGAGAGGACCAGTTTGCTGGGCATGCATGACCCAGCTCTATTTGCTAACCTAGGAAATACCAACTCTCTTTTCAAACACGATGGTTAATGCCTGTGTCACTTAAATGGGCCATGGAGTGCCCAGATACCTGGGTACAACATTATTTCTGGGTATGGTCATGAGGATATTTCTGGATAAGATTAATGTTTGAACTGGCAGACTGAGTAAAGCAAATTGCCTTCCCCCAAGGTGGGTGGGCCTCAGCCAGTCCTCTGAAGCCTGCAGAGAAGAAAACGGCGGAGTAAGGAAAAACTCAGTCGCGCTGCCTGACTGTCTTCAAGTTGGGACATCGGCCGCTCTTCTCCTGCACTCTGACAGGGACTTACCCCACCTGCTGTCCTGGGTCTGGGCTTACACATGGCAGATCACATGGCTTCTCAGCCTCCACAATCAAGTAAGCCAGTCCCTTCTGATAAAAAATACAGATCTATATTTCTATATATGTCTTATTGGCTCTATGTCTCCTAAGAACTCCAATACAGCCCATGATACTCTCACCAACTTCCACGAGGTAGCAGTCTATTTCCCCACACAAGCCTCACTCTCCCCACCCCCATCTTCAGGGCATTGTGATCTGGCCCCTTCTGAGAACCCTTGTACTGCTCTTGAACTTCGGGGTTCAGATCTGAAACATGAATGTGCTGTGGGTTGGGAGGGACGTGGAGGAGAAGTCCCTGGAGAGTCACCAAATTGGGATACATTGTGTCATTTGCACCCTCACTGCACACTCTTCGACAGTTACATCATAATCCCTGGGACAGGCTCAGGAGGGAGGGTGGGACCCTGGAGGGCAGGGGAGGCATTACCTTGTGGAATCTTATAGATGATTTCTCCAGGCTTCCGGAGCTGGCACAATATATAGTCACTATGAATGTTGATTCCCATTCCCAAGATAAACAGGAAGACACCTAAGCAAGAAGAGAGAGGGAAATGAAAAAAAAATGCATCCTGATTTTGACGTTTTTCTCACAAGCTAAGTGTTTTTTTCCTTAAAATGAAGGGAAGAACATTGAATTTCAAATTCTAAGAATGGTACTGAGATGTGGCAGATTAAAGAGGGGGCTGTAGTTGTCTCCACGTGAGCACACACAGAGCTTGTTTTTCAGTTTCCGTGGCTCCAGAACAGGCCACTGTGCACATGCACCAGCATTTGCACAACAAGCCCTCCGGTTGTGCGTGTTCTCAAATGTTCGCTATGGCTGCTGCATGGAGAGGTGTCACGGAAGACCAGGTTCGTGTGAAGGTCACCACAGCAGCTCAAGCAAAGCATGTGACTTGGAGCAGGATGAACCTAGTGCAGGAGAAACGAGCCTCGTTGGCACACGCTTTGGAGCCAGGGCAGCAGCACTTCGCTGATCGATAGAATGCGATGCATGATGTAAAGAGAACAATTGAGGAAAATCCCAAGATTTGGGGTCTGAGCCAAAATAATACATAAACAAGTTGAACCTTCCTGGATTTTAGTTCCTCTTGCGGATAACGAAACAAATTCCATGATCAGCTTTATCTACGGTTTTAGAAAGGTGGTCAGGAAGTCTATGAGAGGATGTGTGAATTGAAAAAGACCTAAATAAAGTGAGGGAGAAAGCTTCATAACAATACGGGGTCGGAGCGGTCTAGGCAGAGGGCGTGGTCTGCACAGAAAAAGCTCTGGAGCAGGACAAACTTGGCCATTTAAAGCTCAGCAGGAAGGCCCCTGAGGCTACAGCACAGTAAATGAGGTGGATGAGACAGGAAATAAGGTCGGGAAGCCAGGCATGAGGGCGTCCTAGGCAGTGGTAAGGAATTTGCATTTTATCCTGCAATCTCATCGGGGAGTTCTGAGATGAGGAGTGGCATGACGTTTTACAAAGCTCTCTCAGGCTGCTATACAGAGAAAAGACCGGGATGGGGGTGGGAGAAGGGGAGAATGGGATCACTGAGAGGTCACTGCAGTAGGGCAGGGCGAGGTGATGGTGATTCAGATTGTGCGGAGCAGTGCTGGGGCAGGGGGGTCAGCTTCGCTTACCCAGGATGAACCGCAGGTCTGTGTACCACTCAGCCGGATAGTCAGCGCAGTAAGTCAGGTAGTAGCTTTGCAGGAGTCCGTTTCCCATGCAGAAGACAGAGCCTTTGAAAAGTAACCTGATTGGAAAAGGCCTCCCTCTATTGAGGAAGGCGTAAACAAATGTCCTGGGATGTACAGGGGACAAAGGTCAGGATTGTTGTTACAAATAGATACATCAACAAGAGGCAAAGGTTTCAAACAGATACTCACATCAAACGATTTTCCCCTAAATTTGTGCAATAAATGAACATTATCCCGCTCTAAAACAAGCATTCGTATTTGTCTTGTTTCGTTAAAATCCATCGTAGTCACCAGTTATTATCTCATTTTAGTCTTAGAATAGTCTTGAAAGGTCAATGTCATGACCATGCAATAGTCAGTAAATTCAATCCTAGGAGCCCAGGGTTGGATGCTGTGCTTTCTATAAAGCAGTGAAGCCCAGATTATATGGGAAGAAAGGTAAAGCCCAGTGCTCCCCATCTGCCAGGGGAGTAGCACTGTGGCAGCAGCCACTGGACTGCGTGGCTTTCCATAGTGTCTCTCCTATGTGATTTAACTACTGATGTTTCAGCCTTCCCTACAGAGTGGCTGCAGAATCCCTTGAGAAAGCAGAAACGTCCCTAAATGCTAGGAATTATAAATCTAGAGGGATCTAGGAAGAAGGGCTTAAAGATATCCATAGCTTCGAAATAAAATATTGCCCAAGGTATGTGCTAAATTCCATACTTCAAATTACACTCTCTTTATCATTTGTCTTCTCTATGGTGCAATGTAACAGGAAAGTTCATAAGCCTATATGAATAGTTTAGTCAATAACTATCGAATAAGTACCCAAATAGTCACTGACTCAAGAAATAGGACACTGTCATCACCCAGGAAGCCTCCCATGGGTCCCTCTCTGTTCACAGCACCACCATCACCCCAGAAGTAACTATCATCCTGATTTCTATGACAATCATTTCTTCTTTGCCTCTGTGTAATTTTACCACATTTGTATGCATCCCTAAAAAATAATTTATTTTACTCATTCTTAATTCCATAGGAATTGAACAATATTCTATGATTCTTAATATAGCCTTGTTTATTTATTTATTTATTTTTTGAGAGGGGAAGGGAGGGAGGAAGGGAGAAAGGGAAACATCAATATGTAGTTGTCTCTCACACGCCCCCTACTGGGGACCAGGCCTGCAACCCAAGCATGTGCCCAGACTGGTCATCAAATGGGCAACCCTTTGGTTTGCAGACTGGCACTCAATCCACCCAGTCACACCATCCAAGGCTCTTAACATATTCTTTAATGTCTTATTTCTTTAACTCATCATTATGTTTCTGAGACTCCATAATACATATTGTTGCATATAGTTATACTTCACTTACTCAGTTCATTGTTATATATCATTCTCATATAAGAATATACCATATGTGTTTATCTGTTTTACTTTTATGGATATTTGGGTTGCTTCCAGAGTGTAATTTTGTTAGGCCTCCCAAATTTTCCCATTATTTTAATGAATTTTTTTATGTTGAAAGCTTTGATACATCTGGAACTTACTTTGTTGTAATAACTTGAATAAGAATCCAACTTATTTTTCCCTAACTCTAGTAAATCTACTAAACATCTTTCTCAGCGCCAAGCATTGTCACTGGTACTGTACACTAAATGATCACACGTGTACACTGGTTCTTCTTCTAGACTCTTGATTCTGTCCCACTGATCTCGCTATTCCCATAACCACACTGCTTTAATAATTGTACCTTCAATACGTCTTAATCCTGGGTGGTGCTATTCTTATATCATCATACTTTCTGAGGATTGTTCAATTTATTCATGACTGGTTATTTTATTCATGTAAACTTAAAAACAACTGGTGAAACACTCTCTCCCAAATTTTAGAATTATTCTTAAATTTAAAAGTTAGTTAAGGGAACAAAATGGCAGAAGAATGATGTGTTGCCACCCTTCAAGGCCAGTAGGTTCATGGTATTTCTGCAGATGGAAAAGTATTCACGGAGCCGTTGGGAGGTCTGGCAGGCCTTTATTCACGGGGAGGCGAGCCACGCACGCTGCAAGCTGCGTGTCCATCTGCATGTCTTGTGTCATGGCCCCTGCTCCCCATCATGGCACCCATTGTGGCACCTGTCCCCTGGTGTGTCTCTCATCATCATCGCCCCTAGCAGGGAGTCCCCACCCGTTTAAATACTAGAGGGGAACAAAGCCAGAAAACAGCCAGAACATTATGTAACAGAACATAATTCTGCGCATGCAGCTCAGTTCGTGTTATGGGAACAGTTTATTGGACCCAGTCTCAAGGCTGTGAGAACACTGGTTATCAGGCCCTTCCAAGGCCATGGGAGTGCTGCTCCTCTGAGTTACCCAGACACCTGGGCAAGGAGGCCAGACTGCCTCCACTTACCCTACAGGTGACCGCCAAGCATTCTCTCCTTCATAAAAGCAAAGAAAAAACTGGCAAAACTATATTCAGAACCCTGGATATTAACCAAAGGCTTGCAGCAATCTGGGGAGAATATTCATGGACAAGAAAATCCTGAATCTCAGGAAGGGCAACACATTTTGTGGCATTTTAAACTCACCCTGTTCCATCTCCCACCTTCCCGCTCTTCCCAGCCTTGAAAAGTAATAGCCCATGAGCACAGGCCTGCGAACCAGACAATCACGGTTCGATTCCCAGTCAGGGCACATACCGGGTTGCAGGCCAGTTCCCTGCAGGCTAGTTCCCGGCAGGGGACGCACAAAAGGCAACCATACATTGATGTTTCTCTCACTCTCTCCTTCCCTTCCCCTCTAAAGGCAAATAAATAAAATCTTTAAAAAAAAAAAGTAATAGCCCACATTCCCAGAACTGGGAGGATCAAAACAGGGCTGGAACCCTTTCAGAGCTTCATTGCCAAAGAGAAATCATTCTTTTATATGCCTGGTGGTTCCCCAGAAGGTTCCACTCAAAAGGCTTGTCTTCATTCCACCTCAAACTTACCCAGTGCTTAAAGTTCCTGGGGAGGGGGGACATTTTTTTAGTGCTTAACAGCAAAGTGGCCTGAGAAATAGGTAACAGGTGAGGCATATTGTAGAGTAATCAAAAAGTTTAAAGGGAAAGGCCAAGGAATGAGCTACCTGTAGAAGTTTTACAATGCTCAGATATATTCCTGGGAATCTAGACAGCCACCCATGTCATAAGAGCCATGAACATACCCCGACAGGACCTGGCAATGTCCTGGACTCTCACCTCTACTTGACCTCAAGGTCTGTACAAGTAGCAACCAAGGCCACAACAGAGACATAAACTGCAAGGTGGTTGTTGAAGGGGTTTCCTAACAGGCACACGGACGCCCTTGGCAAAGATGGGGAGATTTACCGGGGCCAGGCATTTCAGAAAGTCTCTGGCCCGTTGTGACCTGATCACTAAGGTAGCAAGTACAAACTGCAGTGGCCACAGCAACCACGAGACAGACTTCGCTCATTCAGAATGAGTTCAGAAGTCACTAAGCCATGAACGACGACAGCAGGCAGCAAGGACAAACCCTAAGGAGCAGGGACAATGGGATTCCCCGTGCTGCCATACAGTATCATTTAAAATACTCAGCTTTCGACAACTACGAGACAGACAAAGGAACGGGAGAGTGTGTCCTAGATATCGGAAAGAAGCAACAGTCGGCACTGTGCCTGAGAAGCCGAGGCAATCGGACTCACGGGACAAAAAACTTTGCATTCGCTTACCTTAAATATGTTCAAAGAGATAAGGAAATCATGTCTAAAGAACTAAAGTAAAGAATAAGGACGATGTCTCATCAAACAGAGAACTGCCATGAGGAGACAGAAACTATAAAAAAAGGAACTGTGAAAGGCTGCTGTAGGGGAGCCACTTTGGAGTCGAGCTGGGCAGCCGCTGCCGAGGGGCTGCTTGCACCTCTTCCTCCTCAGCCCTTCAGGGTGTTCGAACTGGGCAAAAGAACCCTTGCCCTGGGCAACACCAACGTCATGCAGATATTGTTTTTGTCTTTGTAAATTAACTGCAAAACTAACAGGAAAGCAGACAACCTGACTACTCAACTGAAAATTAAAGACATTGTTTAGAATTAGCATTATCATGTACGGGTGAAGAATAACCTAGCTTATTTGCACCTCTAAAAAGTCCTTCTTTGACTTATTAACACCAACAGAAGTTCCTTCCTTCTATTCGTGTAATTATGCCCCTCCCCTTTCTCATTAAAAACAAACAAACAAACAAAACACCCTCCCTTATGCCCTAATCAGAATATTATTTGGGTTTCTGCTTGAATCAGTATTTCCTAAAGAGCTATTTTTGGTTCTCAACTAAACACGCGTTGCTTCTCACTGTGCCTTTTTATTTTTTGGTTAACAGAACCAAACAGAAATCTGGTATTGGTGAGTACAACTGAAGTGAAAAATTCACTGGCGGGACCCCCTCAAGAGTTAAGGAGAGATGGTTGCCAGAGAGGAGAGGGGTTCGGGGACTAGGTAAAAAAGGTGAAGGGATTAAGAAGTACAAAATAGTAGTTACGTAATGGTCACAGGGATGTAAAGGGCAGCTTAAGGAATATAGTCCATAATATCGTAATAACGATGTATGGTGCCTGGTGGGTACTGGGAATATGGGGGGGGGGCGCTTTGTAAAATTTGTTGCTGTCTAACCCATATGCTGTACACCTGAGACTAATACAAAATAATATTGAATGTAAACTGTAATTGAAAAATACAATTTTTAAACGTTAAAGAGAGAAATATACAAATATATTGAACTTTATCAAAACTAGGAACTTTTGTGCAATGAAGAAAATTATCAAGAAAGTAAATAGAGAATCTACAGAGTGAGAGGAAATGTTTGCAAATTGTTCGCGATAACAATTTAGTATCCAGATATAGAAAGAATTCCTACAATTCAACAAAGAAACAAACAACCCAATTAAAAGAGCACCGGACTTGAAAAGGTGTTACTCCAAAAGACATAAATAAATGTCCAGTAAGCCCATGAATAGATGCTCAACATCATTAGGGTAAAACTATAATAACATACTACTCAAACCAGCCCGAAGGCTATAGTAAAAAATAAAGCAGAAAACAACAAGTGTTGCTGAGGATGTGGAAACA